AATATTTCCGATACTTGGTACGAGTTAATATTACAGTACTTAAATTACTTGCTTCATCTCCTTTAGAAAACCCCTTCGGTTAGTATTCAAAACGTGATGAATAATCGCCATATTTTTAGTAAACACAACAGAAATTTGTATATTTAAATTTGTAAATTGTAAATCTCAAGCTACCATGCTATTATTATGAATTAGTTAACTGTTGCAGTTTGTTTGTTTATAGATTTATTATTTAATGCTGAGTTATTGATATTTTACAAAAAAAAAAACACACACTATAAACCTACCAGTAGCAGCAAACCTAGGTACCTGTTGAATCTAATTTTATTTAAATACAATTAATAAAACATCCAATCTAATGGAAATTTGCTGAGTCTGCAGGTTTGCTGTGGCAGAGTTGTTTTACTCATAAAATAAGCTAAAATTTTAAGATTTTATAGTATCACACTATTTAACTAAATAGGATAAATTATCATAATCCTTGAAAGTAACGGTCAATTTCCATGTGTTTCACCTATTTTTGATAAATATAAAAAACTAAATATACTTAATAACAAATAACTCAAAAACCATTGGGTTAAGAGAAAGATGGTAAATACAAAAAATGTGTATTTTTAGATGACCTACATTTTGTACATTTAGCTTTTTCCTGTATCTCTAATAATAAAGTCACTATAGCAAAAAATACAGAAATATGCCGCCATTTTCCAATATGGCGGCCGTAGCACAGCTTCAATTTTAGGGGACTTTTAGTATGTTCAAAAGGAAGGTACACCCAACATCTGTACCAAATTCCCCGGTTGTGCTAATTTTTTTTAGGTTTATGGAATTTTTATCTTATTTTTACTGCACTATTATAGATAGTGAAATTGTCGAGTCAGTCCAAAAACTGTTTATAAAAAGATTGTTCAGATTGCCTTCTAACACTCCTAATTACATACTATATATAGAGACAGGTGCTGATAAAATTTTTTTCCAAACTTTAAGAACAAATATAAATTATATAGTTAGAGTGTTATCTTTGCCTAATAGTAGATTGCCTAGAATATTAGCAAAACAGGTTATTGGAAAACATATATTTTGGTGCAGACATTGGGAAACCGTTGGGAAAACTCATGGCTTAGAGATAAATTTTGAAACTCAGGATGTCAGCGCATTGGCAATACAGTTAGGATCGCTGGCAGAAGCAATTAAAATCAAATGGAAGGATGAATGTGTAGGCCGAGCTAGGACATCTGTTTATCACAAACAGCTATTGCGAGTCGACTAGGACTAGGAGATAAGAGTCCCCTTGCCTTCAGCGAGGTTGAACTGATTTCTTGGGCGATTAAAGCTAGGGCAGAGCTGGTAAATTTAAATTATAAACCCTGGTCCGAACAAAATTTTATTTGCTCATTATGCAATCTGGAAGAGTACGAAAATACCTTTCACTTCATTGCCGTCTGTCCAATTTTGGGTAATATTAGAAGGTCTTGGTTAGGAAACAACACTTTGAGTGAGGTAGAATATTATCAATATCTAAACGGGAAGGATTGGCGTATCTTCACAAAATACCTTAGAGAAGCTTGGAAGTATAGATGGGAGCTTATAAGCGAATTTAATTTCTAAATTTTAGGTAAATAAAAAAAAAACCTTGAAACTCGTTTATTTGTATCTGATTACCCTTAATTCTGTATTATGTTTTGTTATCTATTGAGTACTCTAATTGTGCTTTATTATTATTTTATTTATTGTATAAAGATGTTCATTTCTTTTGTGCTAAATGTTGTTAAAGACTCATATTCATTTTAGAAGGCAAAGATTGTGTCAACCAAACAGACGGTTGTTATCAACCATTGTTTAAAAGTGTCATGTTTTTGGATGTACTATTACCTTATCGTTGAATAAAGCACTTACTCATTTCATTTCATTTCATTTTCATTTCAATTCACTATTGTATTGACACTATTGTAATTCTTAACGAATTAATAATAAAGAATATTGTAAGTTTATTGTATTGTATTGTATTGTATTGTATTGTAAAAAAACATGGTCATGCTAAAGACTGATAATATTTAATATTGGTAATATTGGATTAACATACTATTTTAAGTGCAAACTATTGATAATTAGGTTTCCTTCTAATGTTTGGGTACTGTGGGCATACTAATAGTGAAAAAGTATCAAGACATCCTTTTCCACTCCTCGGAAAAATGAATTTTGCAAAGTGCAGTACAACAATCATGAATTGTAAACTAATAATTTGTAACTTAACCTGTTGAAGGAGCCAACGATAGAGCTCCCGATTTCGTACTCAAGCAACACCAACCCTCAGACCTTTGTTAAACAATATGGATAGAAGTGATTGTTGTTTAAAACACCATGTATTTCCCCCTGGAACATACTATTTTTATAATCATAGCTATTTGTAGTACCATTATTATCACGAACTCTTTGAAGTGTTCTTTGGCATACGCTGGACATACTGCTTCCTTCTTCTTCTCAACTGATCTGATTTCTAGACAACATTATTGGACCCGAGTAGACCCTGAGAACTGGATCTTGGGTCTGGTACTTCTTCCGAGCAGCTATCACATTCCCTTTACACAAATCATGAATAAAATGCATTTCTAAGTAATCCCGGATTAAATGAGACATGGTTGACTGTCTATCTGTGACTGACTGAAAGGTTTTTTTAGGACTTGGCTTTGTAATCTTTAGCTAAACTGTAGTTATTATATACCTGAATCTATTAACTCAGTACAGTATATTGAATCAAAAAATGATTACAAGAGTTGATTGGAAATTTACCAAGTTCATTTAAAATTAAGATAAAAAAAAATCCAAAAGCCCTCACTTGAACAAACATTACCAACAAATAAGTTTTTTGTGGTAAATGTACCCGTTTTGATTTTAGTGTCGCATCCGACCATTTATTGGTCCAGACTTTAAAATTGCTATTTTTGTAAATTTATTTATTTTCCATAAAACGAGGAATGTAAAAGGATGCCTTAATACTTTCGTCACTATAAGTACGCTCATACTACCCAAACATCAGAAGAAAACTTGATTATCGGTCATTTGCACTTAAAATAGTATGTTGAATCCATTCTTCTTCAAATGACCTGTTTTTAAAATGATCTAGGAATAAGGCTCTGAATATTTATTGAATTTCTGCCTTCGTTTTAACTTGTTACGTTTTAACTTTTACGAAGCAACTTAAGTAGAATGTCATTCAACACCCTAAGTGTTTATGTATTATTCTTAATGTAAATTTTGTGAGAATTAAAAAAATTACCTTTATTTTAACAATAAATGTCATTCTTACGTAGTAGCCTAATATAAGGTTTTTTCATAACAACTACCATTATTTAAAAAACAATCTTAATTTATCTTTTATCCTCCTACTGTTTGAGTTAGGAACCTCAAATAGGCATCATCCAATCACCATTAATATGTAGTTTGATGGATAATTTTATCAAACACTTATGACCGGACACCCTGTATAGAGAAATAGAGATAAATTTAAGTTATGGCATATTTTAACGCAAAACATAAGCAATTTAGAACTAAATTAGCTTAGTAATAAAGAGCTTTAAAAGGAAAGCCACAACCTTCACTAGCATTCAGTCAACTAACGGTTTACCTATATCTCTACTAATAATTTAGCAAGATTGAAAAACATTTAAAAGTTCGTTGTTTGCCTTTGATGATGACATTATAGCTTTATTTTTACAAGCATACTTAAACAAAGTATACATTTTCTTAAAAAGCTTGAAACAGAAAATATGGCAACAATGGCCATACAATGTTGAAGGGTTGATCAACTGTGGGTAGTAAGCTGGTCTAGTGGCAGAACGCAGGACTTTGGTCCCCGAGGTCCCGGATTCAAGTTCCGCTAATTACCAATGGATTTTATTTAGGTGATAATGCTAGGCCTATACTGGGGCCAGAGTCTAGAGCTCCACCACTGGGTTGACTGGATTATGTGGTACACTGTACAGGTTTATTGTTATTACAAATGATGTTCCTGATTTTGATTGTAAATATTACTGGATTAATTTGATTCAAGACTATTTTAGTTTGTACCATTGGAAAGAAAAACTCATAAAGTTTCATTTACATTGGTTTGGGTGCATATCAGCTGTTTGTAAAGTCAATTGTTGTAAGTATTGTGTAATGGCTGAATTTGAAGGCAGGAAAGCTTTTTGCCAGTTGGAATATTACATTAACCAATCTGTTATTAGTGTGCAACGACACTTTAGAACCAGGTTTAACGATTATCCTCCTAGTAACCACTATATTGGCAAGTGACACTTGGAATTTAAGAGAAATGGCTGCATTTGAATGTTACTTGTAGTAGGGCTGAACTTAACAATGTGCTGCCTGAGATATAGAACGAGCTCGGTGGTCCGAATAATGACACACCCCTGAACTGGCCTACAAGATCTCCGGACATCACCCCCCGATTTTTTTCTTGTGGGGATACATCAAAGATAAGGCGTACACACCACTATTATCAGATAGCATACTTGAGCAACGGATTACCAATGCTATCGAAACAATAGACCTAGACACACTTTTTAAAGTCTAGCAAGAGCTTGACTACATTATTGACATCTGTCGTACCACAAGGGGTTCCCGTATCGAGCATTTACAGTTCTGTGTATCTGTGTCAAAACTTTTTGAGTTTTTCAAAAGCTGTACCGGTAACCATTTTATTTCTTTGTATAACATATAAAACTATATTTTATGTATGTATGAAATCATGAACATCATTATTTGTAATAACCCTGTATTATTAGACCTGGCTTCAATGCTGTTTTTTGGCTTGTTGTACTTTTCTTTGTTTCAAGTTATAGTGTTACCTTGTCAAACCCAAAAATGTCATAAATCGAGGTTACAAAAAATCCATGAGGGAAATCGGGGTTCTAACATATTTTTTACAGTGCCTTCGCTAATGAATTTAGAACACTTTTAACATTTGTTTTCTTCCACTAAGTGTTTGGAAACTATTACAGGATTTTTTCTTACCTGGATGTAGTTTCATTATGCCGCTGTGCCCAAGTATCCCGTGCCTGGAATATACTTGCTCTTGATGGCAGCAACTGGCAGAGGATTGATCTTTTTGACTTCCAAACTGATGTAGAAGTAAGTTGAACTTTTCTTATTCTTTAAACTACTTAATTCACTGAATCAAATAAAGCAGTTATCCGTGTGGTAACCCCAGCTACCTTTATGTCTTAAGGATATGTTTCCTTATTATCTAACTGAGCTTAAAGTTAAACTCTGAGGGCATGTTGTGAATAACGTAGTCCAAAGAAAAGGGTGTAGCGTAGTAGGTAGCAGTGGCGGTTCCAAGGGGGGGGGGCTTGGACCCTGGAAAAATAGATTTAAACGTACATTTCGTCCTTAAAACACGCAATGTCATAAAGCAGACATCAATGTAGTTTTTATTAAACTTAATAAGCGATGGCAGGAGTAGTATTAAGTTCCACATAGATAAACTTTGTGGACAATAGCACAACGAATAAAACAATATTGTGCTATGGGAAGTTGTACGCATCATCCAATTTTTACAGCAGTCAGCTGTTGACATGATAGGGCAAAGACGAGCGCTGAGCGAGGACGGGGAAACAGCTGATTTCCTAAATAGTTAGTTGTTAAATTGTCTGCTAGCCACTAACTTTACACAGGCATCAATCAGCAATCAGCGGTAGCACCAGTAGCCTATTACCATTGACTAAATAAACACTAGTGTTAAGTTTATATAGTCAATGCTATTACTGAATTTGATACTATACATATTGTGACAGATATATGAAACGGAGAAAAACGTAAGGTTAAAAACGTGTCTACTTGCTTGCATGACATAAAACAGGTGAAATGGAAGGTTTTAGGACAATTGGGCACAGTTATAGCCATTAGAAATGGCTTTTAAAGTCACCAAACGGCTTTTAGGAGACATGGTTTTGTAGTATACAGTACTATATATATATAGTATACAGGCCTATGTTTTGAAATTCATTAATGTAAGTTCGTCATAGTTTGATTTTTAAAATGTCTACTTGCTCATGGCAAAGACAAATAACAGGTGAAATGGGAGGTTTTTGGACAGTTGGACACAGATATAGACATTAATAATGGCTTTAGAAAGTCAGTAAACAGATTTTAGGAGGATATGGCCGTAGCCTACAATATGTTTTGAGATTTATGAATGCAATCGTCATAGTTAGTTTTAAAAATGTCTACTTATTCATGAGAAATAAATGGGGAAATGGGAGGTTTTGCACACAGCTCTAGACGTTAAAACTGGCTGTAGAAAGTCACCCAAGGCTTTTAGGAGGATACAGTGTGTTTTGAAATTCATTAATGCAATCGTCATAGTTTAATTTTTAAAATGTCTATTTGTTCATGACAAACAACAGGTGAAATGGGAGTTTATGGACAATTGGGCACGGTTTTAGGTGTTAAAAATGGCTTTTAAAGTCACCAAACGGCTTTTAGGAGATATGGTTTTGTAATATACAGTAGGCCTATGTTTTGAAATTCATTAATGTAAGTTCGTCATAGTTTGATTTTTAAAATATCTACTTGCTCATGGCAAAGACAAATAACAGGTGAAATGGGAGGTTTTAGGACAATTGGGCACAGTTATAGCCATTAGAAATGGCTTTTAAAGTCACCAAACGGCTTTTAGGAGACATGGTTTTGTAGTATACAGTACTATATATATATAGTATACAGGCCTATGTTTTGAAATTCATGAATGTAAGTTCGTCATAGTTTGATTTTTAAAATGTCTACTTGCTCATGGCAAAGACAAATAACAGGTGAAATGGGAGGTTTTTGGACAGTTGGACACAGATATAGACATTAATAATGGCTTTAGAAAGTCAGTAAACAGATTTTAGGAGGATATGGCCGTAGCCTACAATATGTTTTGAGATTTATGAATGCAATCGTCATAGTTAGTTTTAAAAATGTCTACTTATTCATGAGAAATAAATGGGGAAATGGGAGGTTTTGCACACAGCTCTAGACGTTAAAACTGGCCGTAGAAAGTCACCCAAGGCTTTTAGGAGGATACAGTGTGTTTTGAAATTCATTAATGCAATCGTCATAGTTTAATTTTTAAAATGTCTATTTGTTCATGACAAACAACAGGTGAAATGGGAGTTTATGGACAATTGGGCACGGTTTTAGGTGTTAAAAATGGCTTTTAAAGTCACCAAACGGCTTTTAGGAGATATGGTTTTGTAGTATACAGTAGGCCTATGTTTTGAAATTCATTAATGTAAGTTCGTCATAGTTTGATTTTTAAAATATCTACTTGCTCATGGCAAAGACAAATAACAGGTGAAATGGGAGGTTTTTGGACAGTTGGACACAGATATAGACATTAATAATGGCTTTAGAAAGTCAGTAAACAGATTTTAGGAGGATATGGCCGTAGCCTACAATATGTTTTGAGATTTATGAATGCAATTGTCATAGTTAGTTTTAAAAATGTCTACTTATTCATGACAAATAAATGGGGAAATGGGAGGTTTTGCACACAGTTCTAGTCGTTAAAACTGGCCGTAGAAAGTCACCCAAGGCTTTTAGGAGGATACAGTGTGTTTTGAAATTCATTAATGCAATCGTCATAGTTTAATTTTTAAAATGTCTAATTTGTTCATGACAAACAACAGGTGAAATGGGAGTTTATGGACAATTGGGCACGGTTTTTAAGGTGTTAAAAATGGCTTTAGAAAGTCACCAAACTGCTTTGAAAATTCCAAATTTTCCCCCCAAGCCCCCCAGTAGCCCCCCCTTCACAAGGTCCTAGAACCACCACTGGTAGGTAGGGTTTAACCTAAATATCTAGCCCTATTCTGGAGCCACACAATATGTCTGAGCCACAAGCTTCAGCTGAACTGATATTATCGCAATAGCAGAAAGTGTGACTGATTATGATGTTCCTGCCATCTCAGAAGATGTTAGGCCTAACAGTTTTGTCACATTGGCGGGTGACGATAATAATGCGACAATAATGATTTACCAAGTATATTCACCATTGAGTAATACAAGATTACAATATAGGGTTCTTCATTCTTACATCCATTTATACATTGCAACAAGATAGCACATACATAGTTAATAATAATGATAAAAAATAAAATTAATATAAATTAAAAGTTAGTAGCAACAACAACAAAATATACAACAATAACAAGATGTACAAATACAGATAGTCAATCAAGAACCCAAAACATAGTTACCACTGACTTATATAAGATTAAAATATATATATATATATATATATATAGCGTAATATGTGTGCCTAGTAAGCCATTCGTGAATCTTATTTGTAAATGATTTTAAATCTAACCATGTTAAATGATTCTCAAATTTTGTTAAACAATTTTATTTGTTGATATTTGTGAGTCTGAATATTTTTCTAACCTTGGGATTGGTAAAACTATGTGATGTCGCTAAGACTACACATGACTCGCCTTTTACCTTTTATTAAAGGATAGAAATAGCTAACTTTCTTGAATTTGAAGGTTTTAATGCACATCAATCAAAATTTAAAAGCTACTGTATGGTGCACCCTGAAACACATAAAACTGTCAACTGAAGGTGGCTAAAGGCGCTTATTTTCTGATTACAGACAGGGACAAAAAAGTGCTGGCTTAACATACGTGCTACATTCTACAGTCATACCACACGGAACTAGCACAAGATTTTACAGTAGCCTACTCGATCATCTGCTAGAAGGCTAGATAACACCTATTGCCGGATAACTGAAGATTGGATTTAATCAAGACTACTAAATTAATAATATTTAAATAGTATAAGTTTTTGTTTGGTGGAATATAGTTGAGTAGTGTCTCACATTTAGTTCCATTCAACAGGGACCTGTGATAGAGAATATTTCTCGAAGATGTGGCGGCTTCCTGAGAAAGCTGTCGCTCCATGGATGCCAGTCAATCGCCGATGGATCGATGAAGACGTTGGCTCAACTCTGCTCCAATGTAGAAGATCTCAACTTAAACCAATGCAAGAACCTAACTGACAGGTATGACTAAAGTAACAATCATAGTTCCAAAGTCAATTTTGTGTACAAAACTGCAAATTATCGGCTGTAGGTTTGTGCCAGTCAAATCGAGTAGATGTTTTCCCTCTACAAGAAACGCACAGTGAATAGAAGTTAGTGAAAGGTATTAAAGGTAGGCTTGTATATGGCATTGTCACAAATCAAATCAAATTTGGTTATCCTTTATTCATTTTTGTTCAAAATACACATGAATAGTGCCAATCAGTATAAGTATAACAAAAGAAACCTATTAATAGAGACAGCATAAAAAATCATTGACTTCATAACAACATTTGTTACATAAAAACTTAAATATGTTTTTTAAATGATCCGAGGGAAGATGAAAACTTAATGCAATCAGGCAGGCTTTATATAATTTAATACCAGAGTAGTGGGGCGAAAATTCAAAAGTATAAGATTTTTGTTTGGGACATGTAAGGCAGCCTTTATATCTGGTGTGATAATTGTCCTAACTATCAGACAATTTATAATTATAATAATTTATTTTGTTCATAAATATGTACAAATTATTGATATACAGGCTAAGAAAGGCTAGAATGTTATAAATAATTTCAAATAAACGGTATCAGCATTCTGACACATACTTTCTCCCATAAGTTTGTCAACAATCTTTATCATGTGTAAGCGGTGAGAGTAAATATACGGAAATGGGATTAGTACAATTTTGATCATAATTTAAAGGATTATAACATAAAAAATTTTTATCAAAATCGTTCGGGCCATTTTTGTGAAAACTCGATTTTCCCGATATTTTATGGGGTTTCTATGGGAAAATAACATAATCTACGATAACTTTTGAACGGTAATTTTTACAGAAATGGGATTTGTACCATTTTGTTCAGAATATAAAGGACTATGACATACTAAATTTTTATCAAAATCGTTCGGGCCGTTTTTGGGAAAATCCTATTTTTCCGTTATTTTATGGGGTTTTATGGGAAAATCCCCATTAAAAATCAAAATTTCTAAAAGATTGAAAAAACTATGAAAGTTGTAAGGACCATAACATACTATGTTAAATTAAAACGGGATTTTTTTTCTAAAATCCTATTTTTCGTTATTTTATGGGGTTTTTATGGGAAAATAACATAATTTACCATAACTTTTGAACCGTAATTTTTAGAGAAATGGGATTTGTACCATTTTGTTCAGAATTTAAAGGGCTACAACATACTAAATTTTTATCAAAATCGTTCGGGCCATTTTTGAGAAAATTCGATTTTTCCGGTTTTTTATGGGTTTTTATGGGAAAATCCCCATTAAAAATCAAAGTTTCAAAAAAATGAAAAAAACGCCTGGAGATACCATGGATTAGAACCTACATGCCAAATTTCATCAAAATCGGACCACAGGTGTAGTCTCTAGCTCTGTACACATCCAGACACACAGACACACACACACACACACACACACACACACACACACACACAGACATCACTTCGAAAACCACTTTTTTGGGTCCAGGGGGACCCAAAACGAATATACCCACTCAAAACTCAAACTCGAAAATTTTGACGAAAACAATACTTTCTCCATATACTATGGTATAGGGGGAGAAAGTAAAATTTATGAAAAATGTTTCTATACTAGATTAGTATACTTTCTCAAAAGTAACCGCTTAATTAATGGCAACCAACATGGATTTAGGACTGGAAAGTCGACCAAAACGGCAACTATACAATTTATTGAGTCCATTATTGATGCCATCGATAAGGGATAAATGTATTGGACTATTTATGGACCTACAAAAGGCATTTAATAGAGTCTCTCATAATACTTCTATTGCTATTGCACTGTAAATATTAGAATAATTATGTTTGCCACACAATGTAATAATAATTGTCAAAAGCAACGAATAACATAAATTCTGCAAGAGCAAAGGCTACAAAACAAGGTAACGTAATAAAACAGGGTGGAGCAGAGGAAACGCATACTTTTCACTATTGAATAGCTTTGAAACGGTTCGATAAAATTAATGAAAACAAGCATTAAATGATAGATTTTTTTATGCAAATTTGAAATATACATATTTTGATTAGGTTATGGTTAGGAGATGACGTCCTTCTTGTTGGATACAAATTTGGAACCTCTCCTGAAAGTTACGAACAGCTCTCTAGTGATGTGGGCAGCCATATAGTTATACTTCGCCGAGAGAGGGGGGGGCAGCGGGAACATTGCTCAAGGGCCCATGCCTACAAGGGGCCCAGGCTGGGCCTGGCATAAAATATAGTATCTAGTTATAACTTTAAAATATAATAACAAATATTGCTGGACATATTTTTTCAATAATTTCACAATCCATGTTGTATTTTAAATCAAATATTTTTAACGCCTTCTTAAGATTTATTGATTATAATTGTTACAAAAGTTATAAGGCTTTTTGCGTAAGCTGTGGGGCACCGGCACTGATGTCATATTATTACCAACCATGACGGGTCGTAGGATTGAGTAGCCACCAGGGGCAATTTCAGCCTGAGGGAAAAAGGGAAATTTCGGGCTTTGGCGAGGGAGAAACTGTCTAAGCCAAGTGGAAGCACTGGTTTAGTGTCGTTTTGATTGTGCATTGAGGTTATTGTTTTGTTCTGCTGTTTACCGTGGGTGTGGTGGCGTTGCCGGTGTTAGTATGACGATCTATTGTTTTGTTCTGCTGTTTACCATGGGTGTGGTGGCGTTGCCGGTGTTAGTATGACGATCTATTGTTTTGTTGTGAAATGACGATTGTTTAGTGTCAGTTGGTTGTTTTGTTGTGCATTGAGGTTATTGTTTTGTTCTGCTGTTTACCGTGTGTGTAGTGGCGTTGCCGGTGTTAGTATGACGATCTATTGTTTTGTTGTGAAATGACGATTGTTTAGTGTCTAGTTTATTAATTAAAAAACTGCGCATTTCTGAGAGTTTTGTAACTCTGACTAAGGACCTATAACTATAATTGTTTATCCATATACATATTACCGTATTTACGTGTGACCTTTTTCACCCAAAATTGCTTAATGTATGCATTAAAAGGAATATATGAATTTGTTTACTCGTAGACCAACCATTAATAAACTTGTAACTAGTTTTGATTTTTAAATAGTGCCTTTATTATGTATTGAACCTTTGTATTAAGATATTTAATTTACCATGAAAATAACCTAGTAACTCTTAGTGGGTTTCTTTGACCAAGCATGGCGTTGGCTTGGATTACCGGGTGCCTGGTAACCGGCAGTGAAAAGTATTTGAGTATGAAAATATAGACATCTCTAACTAGCTTTTTATTACAAAAGCGAGAGATCTTTAAATAACAGATTTCTTTTGAAAAAGAAAAGAAAAGAAAAGTCCTTTATGGTCTTAAAAATGTATTTAAAATCTGAGATAGTTTTGCAAAGTTCATTGGATTTGTCATGAAAAAAGAGAATAAATTGATGGCCATTTGCTGGTTTGAGGGTATAACTATTGTGAAACATGGTGGATTAAAAACTTGAGAAACTCGTGACAAATACCTATACACTAAAAATTGGGTATTTAAGATTTTAAAGCGTGTATTTACGATTTTAGCCGAAGGTTTTGTAGAGTTTATAGAGGATCAATATGTAAAAAATAACAATTTTTAGTGCAAAACTTTAAACATTATGTAGGTAGCTTAAACAGTTTTAATGTTTATTAACTTATTCACAATTGATGCATTTTGTAGTAAATGAATTTATTTGGGTGAAATATTGTACAAAAAAGTTGCATTATATGTGTTAAATTCCTAATATTTTGACTAACTTTAATAAAATATATATATAATAAACACATTCCCATGCTATTTAATGGGAAAATACCATAATAAAACTTCTGTCTAGTGTGTTGCTGCATTATCATGAATACCCGGGTATTTTACATCTCTAGCTCTCTCCAACATTTCATTTGGCACGGCTTCAATTTCCTGACAAATGTATTGATTGTACAAGGCTTGTTTATGTAGACTCTTGATTTCAAATATACCCACAAAAATAAGTCAAATTGGATGAGTGAGGGGGCAGCAAACATCATCATTTCTCTAACCTGAATAAAATGACTTGGGAACATTTTGTCAAACCACTTCCATGGATGATTGTTGTGTGAGCTGATACCATATTTCTCTCATGTTCAAGTTATTTACGAAGAAAGTTGTATAGCATTTCAACATAGCAAACTGATGTCACAATAACTGCAGTTCATTCCTCTTGGATATGGTCCAACAATTCCCATCTTTGAAATGCAGCACACACACTGTTACTTTTAAACTGTGGAGAGGTCTTTGGTGCAAGTTCTTCGACGCCCAATACTGACAATTTTGTACATTGAGGTAACCGTCCTAATGAAAATGTGCTTCATCAATCATAAAGACTGTAGCATCTGCATCTTCCGTGAAAATTTTGTCCATTGCGTGACAAAATTCTTGCGCTGCACAACATCCCCTTCACTAAGCTGCTGGACGATCATTATCTTGTAAGGGTGGACCAATCATTATGTAAGATGAGAGAAGAAAAAGACATGACACACCCAGCGCTACAGCCTGTCATCTAGCTGATCGCTTTAAACTAGTAACAACTGACGTTCTCCCTTGGTCTACAATTTTGGAGTTTGTACTGAACGGTTAAGACCGGGTTGTTTATTTTACATCACAGATCCAGTACATGCTGCAACCCATTGGAGTACAGTATTTTGATCAAGCACTGCCCCTTGGAAAGACGTTGCACTACGGAATTATTATTTCCAAAGTATTGCTCGACAACAAACATGCAATGCTCTACGCTCCAACCCTCCGTAGCGGCTGAAACTACGTTGTATGGGCAGTCTGCCAACATTCATTCGAGGTCGTCGTCAAGTACTAGCAATAAAAAAAATGTGTTTCCTCTGCTCCACCCTGTATTTGTAGCTCTTGTCATTGGGAATATAAATAAAAACAGATTATATATTGTTGTTTAATATTGCACAGCACATGTCAATCGCTGAGCAAACACTGCCCAAAGCTGCAGAAGCTAGACCTGGGTTCATGCTGTGCCATCACAGATTTGTCTCTAAAGGCTCTCGCAGATGGCTGCCCTCAACTGACTCATCTCAACATCTCATGGTGTGAAAACATCACAGAGTGTGGTGGGTGGCTTGCTACTTGTACTGTAGTCATACTTTATCAGTTAATTATTTGTTTCTATTGAAATGTCTAGTGACATAGAAGTGTTCTTATAAAGAAAGGATAAAATGAAATACAGTGGACTCCTGATTATCCACGAGTGCATTAACCACGATCGCAAAAATTCAAAATAGAAATGTATATTATGCAAAATAAATGTACATTATACAGCAAGGACCAAGATGTTTAAAGTGAAGATGCTCATTATCTTGTAAGCAGACTATAGTTACCTTTTTTTACACACTTCATCGACCACCGATTACAACCAATGAGTTGATAAGTTACGTTCATGTGGGTTTTAATTTTTGTTAATACTAGGCTAATGTTATTTGTTTTCTGAATAGAAGTGTGTGAAACAAAGTTTAAAGGTGCAAAATAATTCACACTGCAATTAAAATGTTTGATTATTACTTGCCCTTTTTTAAAGCTTAACTATAGGCTACTTAAAAAAACAATGTTAGTGTTTTCCTGGGTATTTTATGTTAGGTTTGCATTATCCACAATCACTCAGCCACTCATTATCAAGAGTAATGAGGAGTCGGAAAATATGTTGCAACCTTAGGTTACTATAATCAAGGTTACTGACCTTTCTGTATCCACAGTTCAATCCGTAGTTCAGTATTTATCTTCCATTATCAGGTAGGGGTGGGAAAATTGTTCATAAAGACTCATCAAACCATTAGGTACATAAAGTGCAAAAACCCATTACTAGAAATCAGAAATCAGAAATCTTTATTCAGCATTGATCATATTTCACATGAAAAAGGCTTCGTCATATAATATAGGCTAAATCTATCATAATACTAAGGAAAAGAAAATCTACACATATAACAATCATAAAACTATATAATACCACTGACAATAACAACAACATTTCTTAGTAAATTCTATCTACAAATTAATCTAGGATCACAGGACAGTCTAAAAACTCAGTTAAACAATAAAACAGATTTTTTAATAGCCAATCGTGAATTATCCCCTTGAAAACTTTGACTGGTGCAGTTCTAGCATATGAAGGAAGCTAATTAAAAAATCTAATGCAGTTAATTTTGCGAGATGATTCGGTTTTGGCTAATCTGTGCAATGGGATATCAAGTCTCACCTTCCCTCTTGTGTTGTGGTTGTGTATGCTCTCTATTGTGACAAATTCTTGTAAGTTCATTTTGATGTGCATTAATGAGCAAAGAATATATAAATTTACAACAGTGAGTATTTTAAGTTTAATAAATAATGAATCCCAAAAGAAACAGCTCAGTAAATGCTCATTCTCTACTAGGCCTACACACACACATACTAAAAATTGTGTTTGACATTGAGGTTATGTACCGGCCGGCGATAGACTTGTACTTTGACTTAGTTTTTGTACTGAAACTGCAAGAGACATTGCGCCATTGAGAAAAAAAAACTTCCAAAATACTAGGGATGGACGGGATTGAATTTTTAGTTCGGGACGGGACGGGACGGGATTTTTATTTCCTTCCCGATTTTCGGGACGGGACGGGACGGGATTTTTTTCTGTTCATAAAAAGAAAGTAGAGTTCGTGCGTTTCCTGATGAAGCCTGGGGGTAGGGTTGAAGCCCATACAAAACCGGTTTAGAGCCACTCTAACCACCCACCCTCCAGGCTTCACCAGGAAACGCACGAACTCTACTGTATTGCAGTTACCAAAAAATACATACGAAATCAATTTTTACCATTTGTGGCACTGATCTATAAAAACCAAAAAATGGGTAACAATTTACAGGTACCTATAGAAACTTGTGACTCGCGGGTCACGGGGTGATCGTCTGTATGACTCACGGTCACGGCGCGATCGTCGTCATGACTCGCGGTCACGGCGCGATCGTCGGTGTGACTCGCGGTCACGGCGAGATCGTCGGTATGACTCCGCGGTCACGGGGTTTTCGTCGGTATGACTCGCGGTCACGGCATGATCGTCGGTATGACTCGCAATCATGGATCGATCGTCAGCATGACTCCGCGGTCACGGCGCGATCGTCGTCATGACTCGCGGTCACGGCGCGATCGTCGGTATGACTCGCGTTCACGGCGCGATCGTCGGTATTACTCCGCGGTCACGGGGTTATCGTCGGTATGACTCGCGGTCACAGTGCGATCGTCGTCATGACTCGCGGTCACGGCGCAATCGTCGTTATGACTCGCGGTCACGGCGCGATCGTCGGTATGACTCCGCGGTCACGGGGTTATCGTCGGTATGACTCGCGGTCACGGCATGATCGTCGGTATGACTCCGCAGTCACAGCCCGATCGTCGTTATGACTCGCGGTCACGGTGCGATCGTCGGTCCAATAATCGCGGCCACGGGGCGATCGTCGTTATGACTCCGCGGTCACGGCGTTATCGTCGAAACGACTTCGTCTCTTGCGTTCGCGGACCTATCGCTCGCAATAACGGCGTTATCGGCACTTGCGAAGCGGAAAAATCGCCGACGATCGGACCAAATCCCGTCCCGAAAAATTCCCGAGTCAAATGTAATCCCGTCCCGATAATCGGGAATATTTTTTTCCCGAAAAATTCCCGAAATTTCGGGACCCGTCCATCCCTACAAAATACCGGTAATCGCGTACCATACAGATTTTGTACCAAGAACCGAGGTACAAAACAATGTACCCTACCGAACCGATTATTATGTTTTTTGTTGCATGAATATATAAATAAATAAATAACCGTACTGACCTTAAATTTTCTGTAACACAGGCCTTTACCCATCTAATAAAGTGGCACTTTGATCTTTTGACGTGACATTTATTTTACAAACAGTTTTTAGGGATGTTTTAATTTCTTATTGGAATGGAGGAATGTTTGTTTGTAGGCCCGAGTTTATTAGTACGTTCCTTATATAGGACATGGATTCTTAACCTACTGATTCACAAAAATTAAAATTCTTGTAATTATGTTTTTGTTAGTGCAACACAATTGAAATTTAAAAATATTGTTTATGCTATCTCTAAATACCTTAAATACACTTTATTAGTACTTGAGGAAAATAGTGATTGTTTACATATGCCTCCTCGGTGTTTTGCCTATAATTTATTTAAAATTTAATTTATATTGCTTTATTTTTATTTTAGTAGCCTAGTTCATATATGGTGTTTTTCTAAACATTATTTCTCATTTTGTTTCTTAATCCAGATTTTACTCTTTACCAATGGTAGGTCTGCTATCCTCTCATGTCTTGGTGAGTCTACAGTAAAATAGTCTACAAAAATAACATTATTTAAATAATGCAAGAAATAATAAGTGTATTAAATCTCTAGGGGACACAGGTAATAGTTTTTTGATTTTGTTTAGGTGTAGAAGCATTAGCTCGGGGATGTAAAAAGCTGAAGTCTTTTAACTCAACTGGTTGCCTACAAATCACTGACAAAGCCATCAGCTGTTTGGCCCAGAAATGCCACGGACTGCAGGTGGTGAACCTGAAGGGCTGTATTGTAAGTAGCAAATAAATTACTGCTCCGTACTTCCTAATTCTGCATCCTGATCTTGGAACAGCCAAAGATTTTCCTCATTACAGTACAACTCAAGTTAACTCTAAATTTCCAAATCGCTTACAGAATGAATTTTAAAAACCGAATCTAAAGTAAAAAGAATTGTTAAAGAAGGAAGAAGCTGTGTTCGCAATAAAATCTTGAACATCTTCCTCAGTCTTGTAGGAATCATCATTGTCTCCCACGGCAGCCAAAACATTATTATCGGCTTCTGCAATCATAGCTAATGCGTAAATTCTAGTGTCAAATCTTTGAATAATACACGGCAATAACAATAATATCCATATATAATTCATATATATAATTGGCCAAGACCTCACTACACTACAGGCCGGAGTCAAGCCGCAGTGACATCACACATCTCGCTGAAAATACACATGGATAAAGCAGGGTTTGGTGTCTCTGATTGTCAATATAAATTAGTAACATATATAGTCAGTTTTTCATCGTAATAGACCTGCAAGTACAACAACCCAAAATAACCCCCTCACTATGTTTCTCCGGAGCCGGACAAAGAAAATTGGGACTATGAGGAGTGATATATTAAATAATTCCGAGGAATCTCCACCAGAGGTATCTGCATTATGTGGTGTCTGCGGGATTACTGTTCCAGAGGATGTAGCCATTTGTTGTGATGGTTTTTGCCAACAGTGGCATCATGCTGAATGTATCAATATGGACAACAAAACATATGCAGTTATCAATGATATTGCGGATCACGTCAAATGGTTTTGTAATAAATGTGATTCAAAGTTCAAACAAATGTTAAAAAAACAAGAAAAAATAGATGACAACTGTAACTGGCCTAGTGTTTTAAACATAGTTTTGGCTGAACTTGAATCTAATAGCAATAATAATTTAGCATTGTGTGGGCAAATGGATGTCCTTTTTGCACAGTACGAAAAATTAAGTGCTTAAGTTAAAGAACTGAGAGCATCGACTGCACTTACTCCGACTGTGGAAAAAACTTTGCATTCTGTTGAACATTGGCATAGATTGGATAATACTCTATCAATCAAATTCTTTATTTCATAAAATGTACAGATTGGTACATGAAATTGTGTCAACATAAGTTTTCTTATCTAGATCGCTAAACCTAGGGATTTTACAGTAGTCAAAACAGAATATTATATAACAATTAATGACCTTCAAATTGATTTTCCTTTCTTGAAATAATAATAAGTCCAGCTGATTAATACATCAATTGCAAATTAAAGTAACAGAAAACAAACATAGAACAAATCAATGGAGATACTTAAATGTTTTAGTTTTTTAGTGATTTTCAATTACAAAAAAAATTCCTGAATGGAGTAAAATACCGATTCAATTAAAAATCTTTTTAATGATTTTAAAATTTATTTGGATTTTTCTCCAATTTTAAAGTTTCTGGAAGGTGATGTAAAAATTTGTTTCCTAAATAACTAGTTTTTTTTCTTATAAAATTCCAAATTGTGCTGCTCTACCAATCGGTGTGATCTTATGTTATATTTATGAATATGGTTACCTATTGCAATTTTATCATTCATCAAAACAAATTTAATTGACTCATAAATGAAAAGACTGTAGACTGTGAAGATTTTATGTATACAAAAGACATGCCTTACCGAGGCCGTTGATCTTAAATTCAACATTATCCTCAATGCCCTTTTTTGCTGGAGCAAAACTCTGTCCATTTTTTTTTGTGGTAGATCCATAGACACAGACGCCATAGGCAACATGTGAATGAATTAATGCATAATAGACTGCTTTTAACGTTTCAATATTACATGATGTAGCAATTTTTCTCAATGTGTAAAGGCTGCCGGATGTTATTCTAATAAGATTGTTAATATGATTATCCCATGCCAGATTTTCATCTATGATTAAACCTAAAAATTTTGAGTGGTCTAATTGGTTCAATACATGATTATCAACAAATATTGTAGGCTTTATTTTGTTCCTAGTTTGTTTTGTTGAAAATGATACAAAATTGGATTTTTCTGAATTTAGAAGGATATTCCTGTTATCTAAAAAGTCTTTAATTAATGATAAGCCAATATGGGATGATATTTCAATATTATTTTCAGTGTCAGCAGAGACAACCACATTTGTGTCATCTGCATAAAGACATATTTTTGTATCTCTGCCCCAAGTGACTTCTGGTAGACCCTTCAGGTAACAAAGGAACATTAAGGGACCTAAAATCGATCCCTGAGGGACTCCATATTGCACTGTTAATGGGCGAGAGGTACAAGTCTCTTTATACTTAAACTTATACTTTAACTCTATGCAAGACAATGACTGGTTCTGCTTATGCTGTTAAACAACACACTGTCAGTGTTGACAACCAAATCAATGACTACCCTAGCCCTAACCTAACCTACTCAAGTGTTGTGTCTAATAGTAACAATAACTTTGTTAAGAGGCAAAAACCTGAATCTACCCATCTTAATAGTGATAATCGTGATGATGACACCTTTCACACAGTCACATACAGGAGAAAGAGACAATTTAGGCCGAATAATCCCAATTTGAAGAATAAAACCATCATTCCTGGTTAGTCATCAAAACCCAAACCTTTTGGTACCAAAGTGGGTGGCGATGTTAAGCTGAAACCAGCAGAGAAAATGATATGGATTTTTGTGTCACGTCTGGATCTTTGTGTCAGCCTACGGTGACCAAGGCTGATATGAAATCTTATCTGACTGGCTGCAACATAGGTAATTTTGTGTGTAAAGATGTTCGCTCCAGGTTCGATACATACAAATCCTTTAAGATAGGAGTTAAAGAAGGCCTTAATGAGAAAGTGTTAAGCACGGAGTTTTGGGATGAAGGAATTCTTGTGAAAGAATATGTACCTTCGGCGCGCAGGCCACAATTTGGCTGGAACCGAGCTGATTTAAACTTCAAAAATCAGTCCCTGTCGATACAAACATAGGCCTTAACCTAAAAATCCTATCTTCTAAAGTCGATGCACGCTGTGTAATCAATAATTGTGAGTCAATTGATGTACCAGCGACCAGAGGACTAGGCCTATTTGATTCCTGCGGTACTAGAGACAGTCAAGTCAAGTCAAGTCAAAATGATTTATTCTATAAATTAATAACAATATTACAATACATTGTAAGTAAAAGGAATTATTCCCCCGAATAGACTATTGATCCGTGATTGGGGGAAGAGTTAACAATATCATCAGTCTATGGGTATTGTAAAATTGTTCGAGTCACTGCACTTTTTTATTCTAAGCACAAAAATTAAATAAATCTAAGCTCTAAACTGAATAACTGTATTTTAAACGCTAACAAAAATTTTAATTCTAAAATGAGGTGAATTACTTTTTAACATTAAACACAACGTTGCACTACCCCGCACAAGACTCAGCCCATTGTATTTACTCCAACACAATGAGCTGAATCCCATACAGAACAATACGGGTTATAATGTGTTTAAAGTAAAATGAAATAAAAAAATGTGGCCAATGACTGAATCATGACAATATCAGACATCTGGGATATAGACCGACTGGATCAAAGCCTCTGCAGCAGCCCGCTCGATGTGCGCGAGCCACTTGCCGATCATCCGCTTATAAACAGCAACACTGCAACTCTCAGCCTCAATAATGTTTGTTGAAAGATTACGGTACAGGACGTGAGCAATATAAAATGAATTTTTGTTAGTGGTCGTAAGAATAGATTTTGTGCAACTGAAGATAAAGTTTAAACAATTTCTTGTAGGGTACCTATGGTGAATCTCAGAAAATATTTGTTCTTTATTGGATTTAATGAATAATAATAATGTTCTAATGAAAAGCTGTCTGACGTTTAGTACTGGAAAATCAAGGAAAAGTGTTTGTAGTGAACAGAAGGGAAAAGACTTGTTGAAGATATTCTACATTAACATTCAAGGTTATGGAGGGATTCTTATCTAACTCTGACTTTGGGATGATATGTCTTAGTGAACACTGGCTCAAGGGTGAACAGGTTAACCTTGTATTCCTGACAATTTTGTTGTTGTGAGCAAGTTTGTCTTATACTTATAACATTCTAAACGTAAGTAAATTTTGCATTGAATTACAGTTTGAAGCAACCACAGTTGAATTATCTGCTGCTACACGTTATTATAGAGCTTGCGGCGAGTCAGTGTATTCTGTCAGCGGACCCAAGATTCGAATCTCGTTAATTGAATCTTGAATCTGAATCTTTTCTTAGGATTCGGTGGATTCGAGATTTGTCTTCGACACATCCCTAATCATGAGACACAACATTACAATGGCATGATTGACTAAAGACACGAATAAATTAAAGAAGCTTCATCATACAACAAAACAAACAACACAGAGAACGTGAATATGGCGCCGCACAACGTTGTGTTTTACGGCGAGGTGGGCTCAGTTCGGCGACTTGTGTGACGTAGCGCCCGAAGTGGAGGGGGTAGCTCCGGCCTGTAGTATAGTGGGGTCTTGGCTTGACTCACACCTCGACTAAACATCATATAAAGATCACTTGTTGAATGTACAATATAATCTGTAAAAATGTTCTCCTTATGTTTTGAACTCTTAGTTCAAAATTCATACAGTACCAAAAATGAAGTATATATTTTTTTTTGTAGATTCTTCTAGTTCGGCTTCGGTTAAATCGGCCGCCGGATGGTCTGGCCGGTCTAAGGGCCATGAATCACAGCGTCACGGGCGAATGGCCTTTGACAGGATTCAACTTGAATGTTAAAATGTTGAAATTAAAACAACTGGCAATACTGACACTGGTCTGTAATTGTCAGGATTTTTTTACTGTTGTTTTTTTTTATGGATTGCACTTGCATGTTTCAATTGGTTTGGGAAGATCCTCTTGTATAAGAACTGACTAAGTGACTAATTCAAAATGACAAAGGCTGTCTAATGTATTAATCATTTCATTTTGTTAGAACTTTTACAGGAATTTTGTCCCATTCAACTGATTTTTATCTTT